TTCCTTTTCAAAGGGCCGCCACCTTCAGGCTTTGAAATGTGTACACTGCTGAAAACAAGGAGTAGGAGGTTCAGGGCGGAGAGGGGAGGCAAGGCTGGGCGAGTGAAGGGCGAGGCTGGCTGGTCCCACACCATGGAGGCTGGGCAGCTGGAGCATGCGGTCCCTCTCGGTGACTTGGGGCAAGTACTAGCTCTCTGTGCAGAGGGAGCTCTGACAGGCTAACGCAATCCAGATGTGCACCAGAGCGAGCAGAACCTATTACAGAGTGTTGTGAAACGGCCCAGGGGAGGTAAATAAGCAAAAACAGGCCAGTTGCCTAGCAGCATGTACAACCAAACAAGCCCCAGCTCAGTTGGCATTGGCAGAGGCGGGACTGCTCTCTGCAGTGGGGAAGAAAGAACAGGGAGGGTTTGAGCCTGATGGGGGCCTGCTCCCCAGCGGCCCCGCCCCACTCCCAACAGGCAGCTCCTGCTCTCAGGGGGGCCTTTGCACCCAGCCAGCCCCTGGCTGGGGAACTGAGGGCTGGGGAACTGAGATGAGGGAGGGACTGGGCCCACTGCTAAGAGCTGTGCTCTGGTGTGTCCACCAGGCCAGGGAAGAGGGGGACCACAGCTACAAAGATCTATTAAAGCTGCGCTGTGAGGGCTTCCTTGGTGGCACAGTGCTTGAGAGTCTGCCTGCCGATGCAGGGGACACGGGTTCGTGCCCCGGTCCAGGAAGATCCCACATGCTGCGGAGCGGCTGGGCCCGTGAGCCATGGCCGCTGAGCCTGCGCGTCCGGAACCTGTGCTCCGCAACGGGAGAGGCCACAACAGTGAGAGGCCCGCGTACAAAAAAAAAAAAAAAAAAAAAGCTGTGCGCTGTGTGCCCACCCGTGCTTTACACGCCATATATTTCTTGAGTATCTACTTTGTCCCAGGCACCACGACTGACCCCAGGGATAGACAAAAAGGAACAAAGAGACACCCTGCTCTCCACCTATGGGAGGAGACATTGAATGAGGAATCACATAATCAAATGCACGATTATAAATTGTGATAAGGACTATGAAGGAAGAGAAGCACGAGACCATGAAAGAGAGGGAAGGCCTCTCTTAGGAGGACAAATTGAGACTTAAAGGATAAGTAGGTGTTAACCAGGTGAAAAGAGGGGAAAGGGAATCCCAGGAGGCTGGAACAGCAGGTGAGAGATCCCTGAGGCAGGAGAGAGCCTCTGCTTAGGAGGCAATGATAGAAGGGAGAGTGGGCCTGCAGAGGAGTCTGGAAAGGGGTGGTGAGTGGAGATGTAGGCAAGGGCCAGATCACAAAGGCCCTTACGTGATAAGGATGGGTGTTTAATTCTAAGTGCGGTGAGAAACACTTGGCATTTATTTGTTGATAACCTTGGGGAGAAGCTCTAATGATCAGATTTATGGTTTTAAAAGATTATTCCTGGGTACCACATGGCAATTCTGAAAGGGAACAAGAGAGGGGATGAGAAGGCCCGTTAGGAGGCTCCTGCAATAATCCCAGCAAAAATGTCAACAGCTTGGATTGAGGGCAGGAGAGCGGGAGATGAAGCAGCAAAGAAATTCAAGGTCTGTTTTCCATTGACTCCAATATTACAAGTCAGGTATTATTACCTCACTTATAAAGGTTGTGTAATTTGCCCAGGTCACACACAACTCCCTTGGAGGGGCAGTTCATAAAGGACAGATGTGGACTTGGAACCCAGATCTTCCGGACTCCTAAGCCCTTAATCCGTTCATAACCCTGCACCACCAAGACTGGTTTTCGCCAATGACCTGCTAAGGATGCAGAGCTGAAGATGGTTGGCTCTGGGCAAGTGAGAGGGGGAGAGTCACAGTGGCAAGGGAGGGTACGTGTGTATGATGTCTGTGTGTGTATGTGTGTGTGTGAGTGAGAGAGAGAGAAAAGTGGGGGAGGGGGGGATGACGAGGCTGATAAGGAGGAGAAAGAGGAGAGGGCAGCAGGCAGAAGTGCTTGCACAGCTTCCCAGCGCATTTCCTGCCTCTGTGTGGCAGCTTTGCAAGGCATCTCTGGCTACTGTCAATTAGATTTTTCCAGGCCAGTGTTTGCTTATCCCCAGCAATGATGGAGACACACATCCCTTCCTTACAGGATGGTGGAGGCAGCTTCCGCAGCTCAGCAACAAGCTGGTGTGGGAGTCAGGAGTTGGTGGTTACTTCATGGGTCCAGGCTTGGATCCCAGCTCTGCCTATGACCTTGGGCTAATTTCTGAACATTTTTCCACTTTCAGTTTGCTAATCTGCAGGATGGAAATAGTAATACCTGCGTTGTAAGGTTGGTATATTTAAGGAGATATTGATGCTTAACTTAGTGCCTACCACAGAAGAAGCACTCAATAAAAAGTGTCCATTTTTATCATGGTAGCTGAAGACCCTTGTCAGAATTAAACGAGGTCTGTACTCCACATCTACAGTGGACATCTCCCACTGCCATGTTCTGCTGTTCAGAAGAGCACTGGCCTCGGAGTTGGGAGACCTGAGCTCTCCTGCTGGCTCTGCTGCTGAATTGCTGTGTGACTTTGGGTGAGAGCCTCTCCTCTCTGAGCTTCAGGTGTTCTCACCTATAAAATAAGGGGGTTGTACAGGTAGTATTCTAAGCCAGGGCCTAGAAAAAAGACCGTGCTATTTACTTGGGGCTGCTCTGGTGATGAAATGGAGGAGCAAGACCCAGAGGATAACCTCAACATAAATGTTTTGATTAAATGTGGATTTTTTTTTTCCCCTGAATGCTCTTTAACATCCCCAAAGAGTCTGCAGTTTGGGTAAATCTGTCCTACACAATAGGGTTGCCTATAGCCCCCCATGTGGGTCCTCTGGTCTCTTGTTCTACTTCTATTTCTTCCACTCAGAGACAGTTCATCAACCACAAGATTGTAGGATATCTTTCCAGCTTTCAAAATTCCTTTCAGCTTTCACAGTGTTGGAGAAAGAAAAAAAAAAGCAAAAGTGGAGTGCTAGAGTGAGCCCCATGGTGCTGGGTTGGAGTTGGAGACATCAGCATAAACGCTCGTTTAAGTTAATGAATATACACATGGAAAGAGATGCATGTACATGTAGGTTAGTAGACATACATATTTTCCTAGCTCTGTCTACTAAAAGGGCCCAGAAGCAATGATACTCGAAGAGCAGCAAGCTCAACTTAAATGACCAGGGCTTGGTTTCTAAATACCATTCTCCAATAAAAGAAATCAGGATTCCTTGGAGAAACACAAGATGAGCCTAGAGTATCATATATTAGCAAAAAAAAAAAAAAAAAAAAAAAATGTGTTCAAAACTAAGCCAAAAAAGGATGGGGAATGTCAAAAGGACCCATGAACCAACCTGAAAAGAGCTCCCAGTGACCAAGGCTAGAACAATTTGAAGAACAAAATAAAAATTGTATTAAATCGTACCCAAAGAATAAACTGTATTGTATTGAACACAAATAATAAAATAAATACCCATGAATCCATATTGATATAGATAAATGATTAATTGAATAAATAAGTTGGGGGGAAAGGATCAATCTTCTTTACAGACCATTTCCCATAATGAGTGTAAAAGAAATGAGGGAAATAGAAAATCACCATGAGAACAGCACAGTAATAATTGCCTCAGGTAAGATCCACTGAGGAAGGCTAAAATGAATGGATGAAACCTTAAGGAGAAACAAGATATTTTGCACAGCCTCAAACTATTTTCCCCTAAATATGTATTCATACTGTGGCGATTTTAACATATGTCCTAAATTCCGTGATACTCCTCTCTCCAGAGGTGGAACTTAATTCCCTGCCCTTGAGTGTGCGTTAGACTTAGTGACTCACTCAATTCTAGTGACTAGAGTATAGGAGGAAAAAAAGAGCAGCTTTGCAGTAGAGAAACCTGGCAGACACCACCTTATATAAGTGTTCTAGGTTAGCATTACCAGGGATAAGTCATGTTGATATGGGGTACCCACTGACAGGACGTGATGAGGTGGCAAATCATTTATGTGTATTCTTCCTTCAGATCCATAACCTCAGTCTAATCCTGAGAGAAACACCAAACAAACTGAAAATCATTCCGCAAAATCTTATCTTTCTTGATCAGTATCAAGATCAAGGTTATGAAAGACAGAGAAACTGTCACAGGTTGGAAGAGACTAAGGAGCGTGGAATGGTAGATTGGATCCTGGAACAGAAATGAGGACGTAGGAGGAAAAAACTAGAGAAATCTGAATCACATCTATAGTCTAGTTAATACTAATGGACCAGTGTTAATTTCTTAGAGTTGACAAACGTACCTTGGTTATGTAAGATGTAACATCAGGGGAAGCTGGGTGAAGGGTACATGGGAATCTGTACCATCTTTGTAACTTTTCTGTAAATCTAAAATTGTTCCAAAACAAAAAGTAAAAACAAAAACACAAAACCGTTTAGAGTGTAAACTCTTCTAGGGGAAAGGTCATAATGTATATTTTTCTCTATCTTCTCAGAGTTCCTAGCAGCGTCAAATATTCTCAAGGAATTCTTGTAGAAAAGACTCTTTGGGAGGACAGAGTGTGTCCTAATCATAGCTGTATCCTCAGCATTAACTAGTGCTGGCATGTGTGAGGTGAACGTGGCTCTGGGAGCCTGGAGAATGGGGTGCCAATTCAGGCTTCACAGTAAATGACTCTGTACACCTTAGCCAGCTCACTTCATCTGAGTCATATTTCTTTACCTAGGAAATGGGGATAAAAGTACTACTTGCCTTATAGGGTTATGAGGATTAAATGAGACAATGTATTGCGGGGAAAAGCTTTATAAATTGCAAAGCCCTGTGTAAATATTCATTGTTATATCGACACACAGATGCTGATCAATCAGAAGTTCCACCTGAAAGGATCGGTGATTCCCCAGCTCTCCTCCTATGACACACCTATGCACAGAGTCAGGGCTGCAGCCTTCCCTTCCAGTGCTCACCTAATCCAGCTACCTGTCCATACACATCCTGGATAAGTTAAGCACGTGAAAAGGTTCAGCCCTCTTTTCCTAACATGGAAACTACCATCTTCATTCTCTGCTCGCTTCTGTTCATGTGCTGGCAAAGAGAAATGAGGAAATCCTGGTTGTTCCACAGCATCTAAGCCTTCGTAAAACTATAAAACTCTACAAAGTCGTAATATGGTGAGTAATAAAAATAATAATGTCTACCATTTATGCTGGGGTTCTAAGGGTTATATGTGAACTAGTTTAATATTTCCAAGATTTTAGCCATTTTTCCTCCGTCTTACTTATTTCTGCCAGATATGAGTATCATTATCATCTCCAATCTGCTTTAACAGGATTCAGTGTATATTCAGTGAGCGCTGTAAGTCTATGTTAGTTTATTTTATTCTATACCCTGGGATGTCTTGTTGCCCTAAGGAGGAAGACACACTCTGGGGGTATTTAGTCAGCATTTAGTCAGAGGTGTTTAATTAAGAGGTCACACTTCAGAGACAACATTTCAGTTATATTTCACTCCATTTAATGCCAAAAGTTTTGTTAATTAACATAACAGATGTTAGAAATAGGTTTTTATTGATAAAATTAATGAGTTTAAAGATATGCAGTTGGCTAAAATATTATGGAAGCAGTGATCACTTTTGTATGAATAGTACACAGGAATCTAGTGGGCTCTTTACTTTTCACTCTTTGGAAGCGTGGATGAGGCTTGATTCTAAAACACTTTGAGTACAGCTACTGATGTAGAGCATTCTGATTGTCTGTCACTATGGAGGCCAAGAAAATGGGCTTCTCAGATCACTGACTGCATGAAGCCTAAGAGCCCTCACCTCTGGGCTCTGCAATCCATCACTGCATTAACACCTGAGCCATGCTCCCACCTACAGCTCCCAGCCCATGACGGCGCACACCAGGAATACTAAGATAGGCTGGTTGTGAGGAGATGATAGATGAGTACCATTGGCTCAGGACTCCCAACAACTTTGCCAAACTTCCCTTGGGACTGCCCTATCATCTAAGACACTTCCACGCAACTTTCCTTCCTTCATTTTCCCTCCTTCATTTAGGGTCAGACCAGCATCAGTGTCTAACACTTTCCTCCCAGGATCCCCCAGCTCCTTCCCTAGGAGCTTTTCTCTCACACATTTAAATTTACCTAATAAATCATCACACATTTAAAACTGGACAGCTACATGTAAAAGAATGAAATTAGAACACTCCCTAACACCATGCACAAAAATAAACTCAAAATGGATTAAAGACCTAAATGTAAGGCCAGACACTATAAAACTCTTAGAGGAAAACATAGGCAGAACACTTTATGACATAAATCACAGCAAGATCCTTTTTGACCCACCTCCTAGAGAAATGGAAATAAAAACAAAAATAAAAAAATGGGACCTAATGAAACTTCAAAGCTTTTGCACAGCAAAGGAAAACATAAACAAGACGAAAAGACAACCCACAGAATGAGGGAAAATATTTGCAAACAAAGCAAAGGACAAAGGATTAATCTCCCAGATTTACAAGCAGCTCATGCAACTCAATATCAAAAAAACAAAAACCCAATCCAAAAATGGGCAGAAGACCTGAATAGACATTTCTCCAAAGAAGATATACAGACTGCCAACAAACACATGAAACGATGCTCAACATCACTAATCATTAGAGAAATGCAAATCAAAACTACAATGAGGTGTCACATCACACCAGTCGGAATGGCCATCATCAAAAAATCTACAAACAATAAATGCTCAAGAGGGTGTAGAGAAAAGGGAACCCTTTGCATTGTTGGTGGGTATGTAAATTGATACGGCCACTATGGAGAACAGTATGGAGGTTCCTTAAAAATCTAAAAATAGAACTACTATATGATCCAGCAATCCCACTCTTTGGTATATATCCAGAAAAGGTGAAAACTCTAATTCTGATGAAACTAGGGGCAGGACAGGAATAAAGACGTAGATGTAGATAATGGACTTGAGGACATGGGGAGAGGGAAGGGTAAGCTGGGATGAAGTGAGAGAGTAGCATTGACATATATACACTACCAAATGTAAAATAGATAGCTAGTGGGAAGTAGCTGCATAGCACAGGGAGATCAGCTCGGTGCTTTGTGACCACCTAGAGGGGTGGGATAGGGATGGTGGGAGGGAGACGCAAAAGGGAGGAGATATGGGGATACAGTTATATGTATAGCTGGTTCACTTTGTTATACAGCAGAAACTAACACATTGTAAAGCAATTATACTCCAATAAAGATGCTAAATAGATAAATAAATAAATCCACTTTGTGTCCCCTTCTCAGAGGACCCAGAACAGCATAAGTGGCACTGAGAGTGCTCTGAAGAAACAGACAGTAAAGTTGGGAGTTGAGATGGGCTCATCCCCCACATGGCAGGAGAAGGGGACAGAGGCATGGTTGCTAGGTGAGGCACAGATGGTCCCTGGAATCAAGTGGTGGTCTCACTAAAAAGATTTCATCAGTGGTGACCCGAAAAAATGTCCTGGTGGAGGGGAATGCTGTGGCAGGTTCAGTGATGTAAACATTTGAAAAACAAGGGAGCACAAGGCCTAAAAGACTAGGGAGTTGGCTGGTTACTCCTAAGTTGCATTAACACCCAAAAGAAGGATAATGAGAGAGTGGGAGTATTTAACAAGCAATTAGTGCCCAAGTATGAGAGTCAGCAGGCCTCTATGGCAGCCTGCACAGAGGCCCTCATCACCTGTGACTGAAGGGCAACTCCAATCAAAGGGCATGCTGAAGCCTTAACTGTGAGAACTGAAGAGCTCCAGAGATGTTTGAATGCTTAGTCAAGGAAGATCTGTTACTTGAAGGACAGAGTCCTGGGACAGAAAACCTGGGACCCTGAAATACAGGACAGGGACATCTGGATGGGTCCCCCTGAAGATGTTGACTCTGCTGACTTCCAAGCCAATATCTAGGGTTAAATATCCACATAACTCAGCTGGAGGTATGCTGGGTCTAGTAAGAGAGGAAAGAGACCACACACTTAAAAAGTTGCAACAGGAGCCAAGGGACTACCCCTGAGATTGGATTTTGAGGATGCTTGATCAAGGAAGCCAGAAAGCAAGACTGGATAAGCAAGAATTCATTGACTTGGGGGCACATTCTGGGGACATGGGACTTAACGTTCCAGGAAGGACACAAGGATGAGGCAAACTCACCCCAGGAACGAATGGCTGTTGAGAAGCCTGGAAAAATGATGGTCAACTCTCAGGGAAGTGGAACTGCCAGAAGCGTCCTGGCAAACGGTAGAGGAAGGAGTAGAGGGGCTGAGAGATGAGGCACGCTGGGATTACCACAATATATAAGGCCAGAAGCTCCACCTGAAGACACGCTATTCCCCAAGGCCAGCAGGAGTGCACTGGTGAGAGGAGCACAGCATTGCTAAGTTCAGAGGTGGCCTCCTCTGCAGGCCAGGGATAATTGCCGAGAGGCCATCACAGAGGTGGGCTCTGTGATAGCCCCAGGGGATGATGTCCCACCCACCCAAATAATGGAGGTCCGGTGGTGGTCCTTAACTACCAGAAGCCAGGACACCACAATTACTGCAATGACTAACAAGGTCAGAGAGGTAACCAAGGGAGATGGACCCACAGGGAGCTGAGGAGATGGTTAATAGCACGTGATGTCCGAAGGGGAAAATAGATGAACAGTTAGCAAGGGTGATGCTTAATATCTATTACCAAGAAAACAAGCATGGAGGGGCAGGAGGTTGAGGGCTGTCACCCTCATAAAAAGCCATGAGCCTCGTTCAGTTCCATACCTGAGCCAATTTTCAGATCCGGAACTCACTGGTGCAGAAGTGGCTGGGTCCCTCGGAGGAAACACCCTGTAGCACCATGACAAGCACATACTGTGATGCTCTCCCCAGTCCCTTCCTAAATGGACCTATGACAATTTACCTGGGTGACTATTCTGGGGAAAGGGGGAATATCAGGATTGGGGGGATTATTGGTTACAGGGTCTGAGTTAATATCAATATCCAGAGGTCTAAAGTGTCATCACAGTCCCCCTGTTAGAGTGGGGGCCTGTGGGCAGGGCCAGATTCTTGCACTGGCCATGTGACCAGTGTAGCCATATAAAGTCATACTCAGAAGGGCCTGCACACAGGGTTAATGCTCTACGATTGCTGCCTTGAAACTCTTAATAATTTAACTTTGAATTTGTTTCGTTAAATGAAGGCCAATGGGACTGTGGACCCCAGCACGACCCCCACTCACCACTGCCTCCTCAGGACAAGTCCTGTGCCACCTGCTTCCCTGCTTGCTTGCCCTCCGGGGCCCACCCAGCCTTCCCCTCCATGTCCTGCAATCACTGCTGTCCTCCAACCTGAGAAAGAACTGAGCGTGGGCAGAGGAAAGGTCAGCTCTCAGCATCACATAGCATCTCAGGGCAGGGCATGGAAGCAGCTGTCGCTGTCTTGGGCTGGACGTACCATAGTATACCTGGTGGGTGACAGGCCAGAGGTGTGTCTTGACAGAGCCAGGCCTCTTGCTCACCCCTGATCTTGGTACCAACCGTGTCCTGGGGCAAAGGTTTAAAGATCCTTGGGGGTTGCTTCTCTGCCATGAGCTGGGGTGGCAGGCCTTGAGAAGTTAAGACACCAATTCAACCTCCTCACACCCTGCCCCTTATCAGGACGTGGTGCGTCAATCCATGGCTGGCAAGAGGGAGAACCCTGCGCCATCAGGCTAGAGTGAGGCAGTGTGCGTCCTGCTTTCAAGAATGGCTTGGCTCTCCATACCCGCAAAACCTGTATCGTCTGGCTCCATGTCTGGGGGGGATCCTTTTTCTCTCCTTCTAACCTTCCTGAGTCTGGCTTATATTTGCCTCTTGTGGCCATCTTGAAGCACCCTTAGGGATAAGCTATGAGATACAAATGAGTAATTTTGGTGATTCCCTGATATTTGCATTGAAAGCTGGCATGATGAATGGTAAAATTAATGCTAATCATTTCAAATTTTTATTTACTTACATTAAATAGCAAAGAAAAACACCAGGACAAATTGAGAGACAACACACAGAAGAAAGGAAAACCTTTATATGTACCACGAATGGCACTTTTTTTTCTGATCTTTGAACAGGGGGCCCTGCATTTTCATCTTCACTGGGTCTGCAAATTGTGTAGCCAGCCCTGCCTACAGGAGACGGGTAATAAATGAAATTCTGTCTAACGTCTGGCTCATAGTAAGCTCATAAGGAAGTTTTGGCAATTGGAGTAATCCCACATTAGCTCCTTGGATTTTGAGGTAAGGGCTATCATGGCAGGAAGAAGAAGAGAATGACTCTGAAACTGTTCCTCACCTCAGCCAAGATAGTAAATCAAAAGCAATCACGTCCTGGGGAAGCGGAGGATTAGACTCCCCATTAAACATTTAAAAACTGTAGAAGTGGGGCTTCCCTGGTGGCGCAGTGGTTGAGAGTCCGCCTGCCGATGCAGGGGACGCGGGTTCGTGCCCCGGTCCGGGAAGATCCCACATGCCGTGGAGCGGCTGGGCCCGCGAGCCATGGCCGCTGAGCCTGCGCGTCCGGAGCCTGTGCTCCGCAACGGGAGAGGCCACAACAGTGAGAGGCCCGCGTACCGCAAAAAAAAAAAAAAAAAAAAATTGTAGAAGTGGTGGTCCCGTATAACTCATCAGTCTAGACCCTGTAGAGAGCTGATAGATCCTGGAGACTGAATGCTACTGTAGACTTCATAAGTAGCAGCCCTGAGTGCAGCAGCTGTGCCAGATGTGGCGTCCCTCCTAGAACTAATAAGACCTCAGGAATATGGTATGCCACCATCAGTTTGGTGAATGCAATCTTTTTCATTTCAACTTAAAAAGAGAATCAGAAACAATTTGCATTCACATGGGACAGATAATAATATTCATTTTCTCAGGACTATGTTAATTCTCCTGGCCTCTGTTCTAATATAACCTGAGAGACAGGACACTGGTCCATTACATCAATCTTATCATGTTGGTTGGATACGATGTACAAGCAGTGGCTAGTGGGCTGGAGACCTTTAAGACATGTGTGCTCCAGAGAGAGGAGGAGATCAATCCTACAAAGATTCAGGGATCTGTCATTTCAGTGAAGTTTTTAGACATCTAGTGGTCCAGGGCATGTTTGGCATAGTCCCTCCAAAGTATAAGACAAATTGCTGCATTTTGCATCTACTACTACTACTCAGGAGCGGCAATGATATCTAACTGACCCTGCACCTAGGCATCTTTCCCTCAAGACCTGAAGTTTAGGGCTGAAGCATCTGACACTGGTGAGTTGCTCATGATCTAGTGTGGAACATTCTCATCAATAAGGTATCTATTTTAGGGACAGCTGGACCTGGGGTCTTTGTTCATAATAAGCAGCAGCATCTGGGCCCTGACCTTCATCCTGTTTAACCCAGAATGCTGACATGCATGCACCACAGTGTGGGAAAGATGCTGGGAAACCCTGTTCTAGTTGCCTGGGGTGGAGGAAGTAAAAATCTTTCTTTTTGGAGACAAAGCCATTCTCCTATTCCACTATGAAAAGAATTTTCTGACGTTAGGCAGCCAGAAAATGCCTGCTCAACTAAGACAGTTATTAATTCAATAGCTCTTATTTTTTAAACACCTTCTATGTGCTCAATGTTTGGTCTCTCTAAATAAACCAGGCCCCTCTGATTAATATGCACTAGGAATGGTTAAACCATCTCCTGAATAATTTGGACTATTGTGGGCATGATGTTTCTTCTTTCTGTCATTTCTGGTAATTTTCACTTTGTGGCTCCCGGTTTTTTTGTTTGTTTGGTTGGTTTTTGTTTGTTTGTTTGTTTGTTGTTTTTCTTGCTCCCATTTTTTTAAACCAAATTTAGATGGAGAATTTATTTGAATAATTCCCTGTGCAGATATATGACCTTCCTTCAGAATCCCGGAACCTGCATGTGATTCTCCCACTGGAAAATGTTATAATATTCACAGTGAAGTTTCTCCTACCCTGTTACCTCCAACATCATATCATCTGACAGAACATATAGCCCCAGGGGCAATGCTGATTGAACCACAGCCCAGATCTCCTGAGAAGCTCTGTCCCATTTAAAATCGACACCCTCACAGCAAGATCCTTCTCAACCCACCTCCTAGAGTAATGGAAATAAAAACAAAAATAAACAAATGGGACCTAATGAAACTTCAAAGCTTTTGCACAGCAAAGAAAACCATAAACAAGACCAAAAGACAACCCTCAGAATGGGAGAAAATACTTGCAAATGAAGCAACTGACAAAGGATTCATCTCCAAAATTTACAAGCAGCTCATGCAGCTTAATAACAACAAAACAAACAACCCAATCCAAAAATGGGCAGAAGACCTAAATAGACACTTCTCCAAAGAAGATATACAGACTGCCAACAAACACATGAAAGAATGCTCAACGTCATTAACCATTAGAGAAATGCAAATCAAAACTACAATGAGATACCATCTCATGCCAGTCAGAATGGCCATCATCAAAAAATCTAGAAACAATAAATGCTCGAGAGGGTGTGGAGAAAAGGGAACCCTCTTGTACTGCTGGTGAGAATGTGAATTGATACATCTGCTATGGAGAACAGTATGGAGGTTCCTTAAAAAACTAAAAATAGAACTACCATATGACCCAGCAATCCCACTACTGGGCATATACCCTGAGAAAACCATAATTCAAAGAGTCATGTACCACAATGTTCATTGCAGCTCTATTTACAATAGCCAGCACAGGAAGCAACCTAAGTGTCCATCAACAGATGAATGGACAAAGAAGATGTGGCACATATATACAATGGAATATTACTCAGCCATAAAAAGAAACGAAATTGAGTTATTTGTAGTGAGGTGGATGGACCTAGAGTCTGTCACACAGAGTGAAGTAAGTCAGAAAGAGAAAAACAAATACCGTATGCTAACACATATATATGGAATCTAAAAAAAAAAAAAACATGGTTATGAAGAACGTAGGGACAGGACAGGAATAAAGATGCAGATGTAGAGAATGGACTTGAGGACAGGAAGGGAGAAGGGTAAGCTGGGACTAAGTGAGAGAGTGTAATGGACATATATACACTACCAAATGTAAAATAGATAGCTAGCGGGAAGCAGCCGCATAGCACAGGGAGATCAGCTCAGTGCTTTGTGACCACCTAGAGGGGTGGGATAGGGAGGGTAGGAGGGAGACGCAAGAGGGAGGAGATATGGGGATATATGTATATGTATAGTTGATTCACTTTGTTATAAAGCAGAAACTAACACACCATTGTAAGGTAATTATACTCCAATAAAGATGTAAAAAATATATATATATATATATAATAAAATCGACAGCCTTCTGTGTCACCCAGTATACAAGCCAGAGCAGTATTCTTCTGTGTGGGATGTGTTGCCTCAAGAGCCCAAGGCAGCCTATCTGGTGCCACACTCTGGACATCCTTTGGGGAGATAGTGAGTTTCCAGCAGAGGCTGTCAGGATGATAGCCAATTTTCAGTGATGACAGCAGCAGCACCAATATCCTAAATAGATTGTTCTTATACTAGCATTGGGCCCTCCCTTATTTCCAAGTCTCATCCTTTTGCCTCCCATGAATACCATGAGCTAGGCACAAGGTCACCTAGCACATACAGTGCCATTGTATGAATTTCTTTAAGGCATACCTCTCTTAAGAGATCATTAGAAAGAAGCAAACATCCCTCCAAGCTGAACATAGAAACTCTCCCTCATCCAGGTGCCTTCCTTACAGGACACAAGCTCCACAATTCTACTTGGTAGCATTAGCTATGCAAATATCATTCCAATATATTTCTTTTCTACCTAATTTAACATGAATTGGTTTCTCTTTGTGACAGACATTGCTATGTATTCACCAAACCTCACTTCCTTTTCCTCCTGGGCACACAGCCAACTAGACTACATTTCCCAGCATTCCTTGCAGTTCTGTGGGTCCACATGACTGACTTCTGGCCAACAGAGTATGGAAAGTAGTGATGTACTTCCAGGGCTAGCCCATAAAAATCTCTCACATCATCCGCTATTCTCTCTTTTCCCAGCTGTTCCACTGAAGTCACCTAGAAGAGGGCAGAGCCACGAGATGGGAGAAGCCTGGGCTCTGATTCTTAAATGAGTATGAAGAGCAAATTCCCTCCCCTCTCCATATGCAAATAAATGAACTTGTATAATGTCAAAGTACTGGTAGTTTATGTTTGCCTGTTAAAGAAGTTAATTTACCATGACAAATACACTATTTGCAAACAAGAATCCTGATTACTCTTGGTCTCCCTAGGTCACTAAATTTTAAGTTTTTTAAAAATGAGAACTAGAGTTTGAAATGTATCTTTTACTTATCTAATATATAGTCCAGGATATGCCCATAGGTAAATTAGAGCCAGAATGTTCTTTAGAAATATGTAGTTCAATTCTCCGTGTCCCAGTTTCCTTTCCACCAGCACACTTTTCACAAAAAAAAAGCAAAACCAAAGTTTGGAGAAAGCGAAATAGTAGGAACTAAATGAATACTCAACAGAATACAATTATGTATAACTGCTGATTCTTAGTCCAGTTTTCCATATTCACTTATTCAGGAAATAAATTTGGAAAAAAATGTTTCCTTTTGTCCTTCCATAGTTTCTCAATAAAAGGAACTGTTTTAGTCATCTATTGCTATGTAACAAGCTATCCCAAAACTTAGTCACTCAACACAGCACACATTTATTATTGTAATTCTGTGGGACTGGAATCTTTGTGTGGTTTAACTGGGTGCCTCTAGCTAAGGTCTCTCATGAAGTTGTAGTCAAATGGTCAGCTGAGGCTACAGTCTCAGTTGGGGGCTAGACTCGAGAGGAGGGGTATCTTCTTCTAAGCCCACTTGTGTTTGCAGGCCTTGGCCTCATATCATGGGGGGGAGGTCTCTCTACAGGGCTGCCTAGCCACATGGCAGCTAGCTTTCCCCAAAGTGAGCAATCCAGGAGAGAGTACCCAAGATGGAAGCCACAGTATTTTTTATAATCTAATCTTAGAAGTGGCATCCAATCAGTTCCATCATGAATAACAGGATGCAGGGGTCAGTGCGGACTATCTTAGAGGCCGTTTACCACAGGAACATTGTAGAATGTTTCAAGGAGACTTTATAAAGGACTACCAGAGTTCCTGAGCTCTTTCTTACTCTCCTATTCCTTCTCCAAACCTAGCCTAATACGTCAGTGAGCAAATTGGTTCAGGATACAGTTGGGGGACAGAAAGCACACCAGCTATCTTAACAGAGAGAATTTGATGTAAAGAATAGTTTACTAGGCATTAAAGGACTAAAACAGAAAAAAAAAAGAGTAACAGGAGGTAAAGATTGCAGGAAGCAGCTACCACTTCCATCACTGGGAAAACAAAGGAAGATGTTGGAATTATTAAAATGTAGAAACTTGAATGAGGGACCCTGAGGACTGAAACACAAGAGGGTGATGCTCAGCCGGTGCTGAGGTCCCTGAGCTTGGAGGAGGAGCTGTATGGTGCTGCAGCCCAGACCTGGGGCTGCCAGCGGCTAGCGCCAGTGTGCCTGGGAGGATGCAGGGAGGCTGGTTCTCCAAGAATTGGAACACCACCACCTGGATTCAACTGGAAGGTATTACTGCTGCCAGAGTGAAGAAGCAAGGCTGGGGTGACACTGACAGGAACAGGAAGCAAACAGGAAGGAGCAAGTACTTTCTTCCTCTGCCAGGCTTACAGTCTCTCTCTAGCACCCCATATTGGCAGAGCCTAAAAGGGAGCTGTTGGTAAAGGAGGCATTCGGTTGACAGAGTCCCAGCCCGGTGTCTCAAAATGGAGAACGGAATTGGGGGGTGGGGGAACGAGGGGTTGTAACCCAGAGACAGTATCTCCGTAACTTACACACAGAGCCATCCCCAGCACTGGTGACAGTGATTCGGTATCTTTATTCTTTAATTTCTTTAAATGCTCCGTTATAATAAGTACTGACATTTGCAAATCTCACTGTAGCTTTTTTTTAAAAATCAAACCTATTATCTCATTTAATCTTTTGAGAATGATAGGAATCATTCTTTCCCTGTTGAAGATAATGGTGCCCAGAAAAGCCAAACACCTGATTAATGATATAAAACATATAAATGGTAGACTTGGGTCTCTCGGATCTCATGACTAGGGTCTTTCACTACACCATACTGTCTTCTCAAAATCTGGCCACAAAGTAAAAGCACTAGTGACCCTATCTTTATTAGAGAATCCTCAATTAAACAAAAAGTAATTCAGGTAGCCATATTTAGTAAATATCATTTTAATTCTCCTTGAGTGAGTTAAATTTCATCCATTCATTCAACAAATATTTGATGAGTATACTCTGTGCTGTAGAGGAAGATAAAACCTTAAACAGAATAGGCTATCTGTCCTCAAGGATCTCCAGTATAATGTGGGAGATAAAAGTTACAGTGAGTAAGAAGTGTTATTCTAGGGGTGATATAAGATGCCAGCAGAGAGGACAGCCACCCTTCTCTACTAGGGGAAGGGAAAGGAGGGAAGGGAAGTCAGTGAAGGCTGTGGGGAGGGGATACAGGGCCAGAGCTGTGTTCCAGGAAGAGGGCACAGCCTAGAAAAGTCCAGAGGCTAAAAGGAGCAGGGTTCATTTAAGGAAACTGCTTTTGTAAGTGCATCAAGCTTCCCTCCTGGAGAATGGGCGGAGAGGAAGGCACTGGAGGATGAGGGGAGAGGTACCCAGCTATCCTGAATATTTTGAATGTAGTCCTGAGGGCACTCGGGGAATCTTTGTCTCAGGAGTCTGCTCTTAAGACAGCAGCAAAGCCAGAGTTTGCCTCTAGCCGGGCTCATTTGCGTGCTTGAGGTGGCAGAAGGTAAAACCTTCCCCTCTCGTGGGTGCCCTAGACGAGGAGGATCCTGCTCTAGGTAGCCAGGACCAATTGGTCCTAAGTCCATTGCCGAAGAAATTCTCATCTTTCTTGGTTCCATTAGATCACTCTTTGATGTCACAGGGCATTTTTCAGGGAAAACATCTGCCAAACTTTCCTCCTGATATCTGGGCAATGTCCCCACAGAGAAATTAAGGAGGAGAAAGCCCCTATTTGGAAAGCCCCAGGTGACCAAATTTCCAGCACTCTGTGTTTTCATTCTCTCTCCCTTAGCTCTGCGAAGATCCCTTTCTGAAGCCACCATAGACTCTAAATTTCCATCTGAGATTACAACACAAAGAAATCCACTCCTCCATGTAATAAGCCCAAACTCACTACCTCGTCACCTAGCACACTGAGGGGCCGCAATGATTTTGAGCTGAAGGAGAAACTTCAAGTCCTTTCAAAAAAAGGTCCTGTCCATAATCAGGACAGCTGAGCCTGACTTTTGGCGGGTGGTCATATTCTTAAATACTTTAATGACACCATTAACAATGGTTCTCTCTTGGGGGTCGATTACCAGGGTACTTCCACACTCTATGTTTTGATGTTTCTGTATTGTTTGAATTTTTTTAACCATCTGTATCATATATGTAATTTAACAAATGTGTATGTAAGAATATACTTAAACCCCTCGGAAACGTTATTCTTGTCACTAAAAAGAGTGTGATGTTTTTAGGGCACAGGAGCTGGAGGGAACTTTTGAAACAGATTCTTACTCCAACTGTGGTCCCTGGTCTAGCAGCATCAGCTTCACTTGAGCTTTCTAGAAATGCAGAATCTCAGATTAACCCTGGGCCTGCCGAATTGAACTCTGCATTTTAACAGATTCCTAGGTGATTCCTGCACACATTAACATTTGATCTAGTGTAGCCAGCTTTCAGGACTTTGATCACTGAGGCAACAGGAGGGGTAACAGGAAATATTTGTTAAAGTTCACACAGCTCCTCAGTACCAGAACTAGGGCTTTAGCTCCTATCTTTATTTTTTTATTTTTTATTTTTTTGCGGTACGCGGGCCTCTCACTGTTGTGGCCTCTCCCGTTGCGGAGCACAGGCTCCGGACGCGCAGGCTCAGCGGCCATGGCTCACGGGCCCGGTCGCTCCACGGCGTGTGGGATCTTCCCGGACCGGGGCAGGAACCCGTGTCCCCTGCATCGGCAGGCAGACTCTCAACCACTGCGCCACCAGGGAAGCCCTAGCTCCTATCTTTAAACTCCTAGACTAGCACTATTTTCATGCCTTTGGGTTGCCTCTCCAGCTTGTGGTCTTCCTAGAACCTCAGCTTATTTTTCTGTACTTTATAAGTGAATGCATTCTAGGTCTCAGGGCAACATGGAAGGTGAATATCAAATCTCTTAATACAGCTCAATACTTCTGGGTAAGATAAAGCACTGCTGTCTAGCAATTAGGTCCACCAGACCTGGATTGGGCCCCAAATCATGTTCTAATAGTGTTTGAAAGAAAGCCCAAGGTGGATTTAAGAACATAACAGTAGGAAAACAAGCAGGGCCAGTGACATCAGAGCATCTCTGGAAACTCAGGGGCAGGGGAAATATCCAGGAATCCCTTGGTTATTGGTTCTCATTTGTACAGGTGATGGAATGAGTCAAGTGCTGGCTGCTGTGTTACAAAGAAGGGAATCACCTCTGATTGAGTATTCAGTGCTTATATGGATATTAACCAGCCAAGCTGTTCAGAATTTGAATTCAGCTCCCTGTACACACTTATCCAGAGGAAATCATCACAGGCTGTTGGCATGTCTAGAGGAAGAAAGCCTGGGTCTACAGTGCTGGCTGCCCCTACGGATCTGAAGTCATCCTCAGACAGGGGTATATCTGTTTTGTTTTTTTTTTAACATCTTTATTGGAGTATAATTGCTTTACAATGTTGTGTTGCTTTCTGCTGTATAACAAAGTGAATCAGCTATATGTATACATATATCCTCATATCTCCTCCCTTTTGTGTCTCCCTCCCACCTTCCCTATCCCACCCCTCTAGGTGGTCACAAAGCACGGAGCTGATCTCCCTGTGCTATGCGGCTGCTTCCCACTAGCTATCTATTTTATATTTGGTAGTATATATAAGTAAATGCCACTCTCTAACTTTGTCCCAGCCTTCCCTTCCCCCTCCTCGTGGCCTCACGTCCATTCTCTATGTCTGCGTCTTTATCCCTGTCCTGCCTAGACTGGGGTCTATCTGACTCAAGAAGTCTGAGTCCAGCTCCAACCAGCAGAGGGACCAGATCACAGGAAGGCCTCCCCAGTGCCATATGTCTGGAGCCAAGGAGTCCTTGCCTGAGACCTTGGACGATACCTTGGGAGGCCAAAGGTACAGACTGAGCCAAAAATACACAAGAAAGGCGGAGTCCCAGACATTAGAAGTACTGTCCAGAAATGAGCTCCAGTGCAGGAAATGAGCACAAGGGAGAAGCCACTAGGCAAGAAGAATGGTGTGGTTAGTAACTAAGAGGTGAGCGATGCAGGAAGGGTCAGTTCTGCCTCCAGTAATCTCTAGTTGTGTGATCCTGGGTGAGCGCTTTCTTCTTTCAAAGGCATCATATATCAAATTAAGGAATATTATTGCAAGTTAATACATATCTTGTTCAAATTAAAGCACTGACTTCTACTGATATAAGGAGTTGAATACAAAGTTATTCCCTGCTATGGTCTGAATGAGTCCCCCCACAGCCCAAACTCA